CGGTGGAGCGTTACATCGACAACCTCGTAGCGCCCAAAGACTTTTAATGTAGCACAAACGGATATTTGTGTTTAACGCTTCCTTGATAATGCCTGTAAACTGGCATTAAATAAAATTATTATTAGTATTCTCATTAACGTGGAGCACTAGATATACTTCCTTGCTAATCTGATCTGAAGAGAGCCGTTAAAGGGGTCACTGGCCTATTATGCAGAATTTTGCCGGCTTACAGATCTTGAAACTTTGTGGTTTCGCAGATTAAAAAAGACCCTTTTTATTATTTAAGCTTTTGTTTATTCGTACCTTTAACCCACTTACTACTTTAAAAAATCTTTTCCACAATCGGCATAACGATGTCCGTGAGGTTTTTTATTTCTTCCTCCGACATGTACCGTTACATATCGTCGGTTATTTTTGTGAACACACTTGCCATTTTGAATAAATTATCCAGGAATGTGAAAACGCTACAAAATTATCCTTTGCTTAAGAAAACGGTCACTCGATGTTTACATTCAGAAAAACTCCCACAAATATTATGTGCTGAATTCACCGACCGAATATACCATAGCGATGGCGTTCGTGGTCTCTGAATCCCATGGCCTGTGTCACTAGGGGCAATTTCTGTAGCCAACTGCGACAGCTTTTCTTCAGTGTTCCTCTTTGGTCCAGTCTTAACTGCATGAAAAGAAATGCGACTGGTAATATCCAATACAGTGTTGCCTCTCCCTTTCTTGACTGTCGTCATTTCATGGGCAGCAATTTTTTCTCCTGCACCCTCCCATCTATAAATAACAATCATCACCTTTATTCTTGTGTGTCAGGAATTTATTTCACTGCTGGCCTGATTTGTGTTTAACCTTTCCCTGACAATGCCTCTAAACTGACATTAAATACTATTATTATTATTATTATTATTATTATTATTAAGCTGGCAGCAGTATAATTCATATGGTGCGGATGCGTATATTAAGAGCAGCGAGATAGATGCATAGGAAAATGTCAGCGGATAAAAGGATGAATAATAATTGCAGCATATATGATGGCAGGTATGGAAATTGAGGATCCTACTAACACCTTTTGTTTACGATTAGACAGGTTTGACTTAGCAAAGTCCATAAGAGGACTGTGAAGTCCCAGAGCTTGTAATTTAACTAAGAGTCTTCTGTGTGACACTATCGCAGGCTTTACTAAAGTCAAAATAAATGACGAAAACAGATAAGGGATAATGGCAAAGAGAAGTAATTACATTGAGGAACGCATAGGACACGGTTCGTTAGCGTGCTCGGGTAAAAAGCCATGTTCGGAGGTGCTATTAACTTGATTGGCTAAGCAAAAGTCAATAATTTTCATGGCAATTATCCTTTCAAAGATTTTGTCGGTAGATAGTGTTTTATGGACACCTTGACAGTTTTGAACATCTGAAAGACAGCCATACAGATTTGGATACTGGAATAATGATAGACGTTTTCAAATAGTCAGGAAAGAAACCACTTCCGAGAAGGACTGAAAACAGTTTGCTAGGTAGAAATCCAAAATCTCTTAGACGTTTATAAGAGAGTTCGAAAGATAGTCCGGACCAACTGACAGGTACGCGCATCAAGACAGTCTCAACCGCCTAAACAGTTGGTCAGCTCGCTGGCTCCTCAATTTTAATGTGGACAAATGTGTAGTCCTGAGACTCCGCACCAGACAGACCAGTAAGGAGGACGATTCCTTTCAATATGTCCTTGGTGGTCAGTCCCTTTCAAATGTTGTGGAACAGAAAGACCTGGGAGTCCTAATGACCTCCTCGCTGAAACCATCTTCACAGTGTCAAAGGGCAGCCAAAAGTGCGATAAGGGTGTTATTTGCGCTGAGGCGAGGATTTGTGCAGATCGATAAGGAGCTGTTCGGAAAAACCTATGGGGCATTCGTCCGGTCTCACTTAGAGTATGCAGTCCAGGCCTGGCGACCGTGGTTAAAGAAAGATTATCAACGACTGGAAAGAGTACAGGCGATGGCTACGAAGATGGTCAAGAATCTTCATCATTTGCCTTACGAAACCAGGCTGACTGAACTAAATCTGTTTCCTCTAAATTACAGGCAACTGCGCGGCGATCTCATTCAAACCTACAGGATTGTCAGAAGCCGAGAGTGTGCCCTAGATTTTGATGAATTCTTTGAATTGGCCCGGACTGACCGTCTGCGTGGTCATCCGTTCAAACTGCAAAGGAAGCGGGCTCATTCGGACGTCCGACGGAACGCCTTCTCACACAGGGTCATCGGGGCATGGAATGGACTCAATTTCAATTCAATTTCAATTATTTTATTAAAGACCCGTCGGGGTCCCATCAAAGCAAGTAAAAATAAATTTACATGCAAATTTTAGACGATGTAGGCAAAATCTGCACAATGTGCAATGCATAGTTTTTGAGATTAGAAGTCCGTTAAGCAAAATGAAAATGAAAAAAACGAGGGGTGAAAAAAAAACTCCAAAGCAAATTTTAAAAATGATTGTAGTAATTTAACAGGAGGAAAAAAAACCCCTCGGAAAAATAGCATCAGAAAAAAACAGGGAGGACTGGCCTGCATGTGGTGGTACAAAATGGAATATAGTCCGACATCAACATGGCCGAAATAAATGTCAGCTGTATATGGCATTGTGTAACGGATTTCATAAAATGGTACGTAGGCGGGTCGGTCAGGACTGGCCTGTATCGCCTTGAATAAGAAAATAAGTGGCGAAATTGAAAACCAGTCTCAAGCCGATAGGAACCCAGATGCGGTCAGTTTCATTCAACCGAGTCCATCCGAACATGTGGGGAGATGCGACCAGACTACTAGTATATGGCGAATATAGAAGGCTTTGTCAAGACCACCGATGGAGCGCATTCTGTAAGGGCATGATGACAACCATTCTCGAGGCGACAAGAACCCAGATGCGGTCGGTTTCATTCAACCGAGTCCATCCGAACATGGGTGGAACATGGGGGGAAGGGAGATGCGACCAGACTACTAGTATATGGCGAATAAAGAAGACTTTGTCAAGACCGCCGATGGAGCGCATTCAGTAAGGGCACAATGACAACCAGTCTCGAGGCGACAGGAACCCAGATGCGGTCTGTTACATTCATCAGAGTCCATCCGAGGATAGGGCAAAGGAGATGCGACCAGATTACTAGTATATGGCTAATATAGAAGGCTTCGCCGTCGTTCTTTCCGAAAGTGTTAAATCCTTTAAGTGCAGACTAGACGCTCACTTGTTGAGAACCTACTGTACATACAATCATGATTGTTTTAGCGGCGGCAGTTTGCGCCTGGCTCACACTTACCGCTAACTTCTTAACGTTTCGCATTTGCTGATGTAATTGATGACTTTATTTCTGTTTATCGACATGAATAGGGTGCTCAAGGGCGAAAGCCTCGTACCCTTAATAAACTGACTTAAACGCGAGTAAGTAAGCTGGTTTATCAGTTGTTGAATAGTTGTAGGAGCAAAATTAATGATGCTGAGGAATGCATCAGACAATTGAGAAAGTGAAGGGATTGCGTCAGACTCGATGGCGAAATGTTTGGCAAAGAATGCATTTAACATCTTTGTCGTGCAAGGTTCCTCATTAATGAAGATCTCGCTGGAACTAAACAAAGGCGGAAGGTCTTGGCGGGACATAGAAAATTGTCTTTGACGGAAGACCCGACCGACAGATTCAGAAGCATTCGCGCCACTATTAGCAATAAAAACTCTCTACGCTTACCTCGCGCCAGCCTCGTTGTCGAAGCTAATTTAGATTTTTTAGCGATTCTTAGGTGGACCCATACTGAGCTTGCAGAATGAGGCTAGATGGAACTAGCGCCGCTGCAGATATGAGGGACATTTGGTGGACGTCCGATGAAGAATCTGCTTCAGAAGCAAATTGCAGATGAGTAGAATTATGGGGTGGCTTTACCTTTGCTAATGAGGGGGAAAGTCTGTGTTGCAATGGAGTTTTATCCCGACTAATAAAAAGCTTATTTTCTCGAGGATATTGAGAGGGCCCCTCCAAATGAGATAAAATGAAACCAACTTCTGTGGACGCGAATAATTTGACAGCATTTGTTGGATTTTTGCCCCTAGATGGAATTCTTTTTGATCCAGCGTCCTTAAAGTTGAAGCCACGAGAGTAAAGTTATGCAAGGCTACATCGACGGGCTGTCTTCTTGTAAGAGCATTTTTCAAAATATTGTTAAAACTCAGCTTGTGCCTGTCTTCCGTCTCACTTCCAACATCTTCGATAAAATATACGAATTCCTCGCATTGCAATGAAGTTAATGTGCACATTTTCCCTTTAAGGTGGGCACCAAGAACAGAGGAAATGGGACCCATCGTGAGACATAAAGTTGCCGAAATTTTTGAGTGCTCCAGGGTTTATTTTTCATACTGGCGATGATTTTAAAATGAGAGAGTTTGGAATTTAGTTTCCTTCAAATTTCGACGAAGGTTAGCTCAAAATTTCATGATTAAAAAGCAACACAAGAGTTTGCCACTGATTTATAGGGTTGGTGGCTGCCGAAAATTTGAGGATTTATGGATGAGGTTATTCATTACAGGGAAAATTCGAAAAGTTATCAATATTGGAAGGCCGGGCAGCAGAAGTGTTACTCATTCAGTTTTTACTCAGTTATATAATGCAATAGGACGTGCCGTCCTAAAGAATTTCCTAGTAAAATATCTTTGAAAATTTTTAATCCTTGAAAGACTAGCTTCCTTCACTAAACCAAAGAATGGGGATAAATATTCAAGAATGGGAAGGACAAACGTTATATAGATTTAGGAAAGTAAATATTGCAAAAAATAACACCATAAATCTGGGCCACTTTGGCCGTAGTTCCATCGGCATGCAGCGAGAGGTTCAGATTTTTGTGTGGTGTGAACCTATGCCCTTAATGGTGAAATATCCCATATTGATGGCGCACTGGTTGATGTATACCTTCAGGTTCAAAGCACAGGCAGCGATATTTGGGATGAGAGAATTCCATTTGCTATGCTGAGCTCCGTGCTGAACGCATGGGCAAATCGGCATGGTTTTATTCCAGCCAATGGTAGGTCGTTGTTTTAAAGAGAGAGAGAGCATACGCATTTGAGATCATCAGCAAAAATAAAGGATTGAGCGTTTAGCTGCTGACGAAATATCAATAATTTTCGGCAAAAACACGGAGGACGTAATACGGTCAGCTCGAAGGCACCGCTTAAAATAAACCTCTCACCGGAAAATGAGGACCCACTATGACCTTTTGTTCCCGCTTAGATAAGTATGACTTAATAAAGTCGTTAAGGGGACTGCAAATTTCTGGAGCGTCCAGTTTGACTGCGAGTCGTATATTTGAGCAACAGATCTGAAAGGATTTGCATCATTAACATTTAAAGACTCCCTACGCTTGTCTCACGCAAAGCTCATTTTCGAAGACAATTCAAATATTTCTGAGATTCTTACATGAACCGACTGTTTTCGCACGTAATTATTACTCCCAAAGGCCAATGCTCACGAAGTGTGTGCTCCCGCGAATGTGAAATAATATCACCTGGATTCAGGTCCGCGGCTTGTCATATCTGCCTTGTTGTTTTCTGGAGACTTGGGAGATATTCTTTCACTCATTGTCTCCAGAACACGCCAGCGAGGTAGTGTACGTGTTTCTATCCAACGTGGTACCGTGCCGCCAATTCGTCCCTGCAAGCCAGCATTGGACAGTTCCTCATCAACAATAAGCCATTCGGGGTAAGCGATTCCAAATCGTTGCTGTCTGATGTTAGCGGGACAAGCGATCTGTTATTTAATATGCGTTTAGATTGGCAAAATTGAGATATCCGGGTTGATTACTTGAAAAAGGAGAATAATAATAATAATAATAATAATAATAATAAGAAGAAGAAGAAGAAGAAGAAAAAGATGATGATGATGATGATGATGATGATGATGATGATGATGATGATGATGATGATGATGATGATGATGATGATGATGATGATGATGATGATGATGATGATGATGATGATGATGATGATGATGATGATGATGATGATGATGATGATGATGATGATGATGAGCTCACCGGAACAGTTATATTGAGATGCTGACGTTTCCAAGTGTTTCGTGAGTAATTTAACCAATCTTCAGAGGATGATATGAAAACTTTTGTTAGACACCTGAATAACTACTACCCCGTGCTACAGGCGGCCTTGAACTAAATTTGGGGGGCACTCATTCCCGCGTCGGAAGTTTAACCTTAACAGATATCCCTATCCCCCCAAATGCTTGCAAAAATCCAAAAATAATATTGGGAGAAGGGTACTTATTGCAGTGCTCTGCCAGCACTCCTTGAATATTTTTTAAGGCACCTTGCGGGCACCGCTGGTATGATGATGGTTTGTGGGCCAATCAAGCGCGGCTGGTGGTTCGCAATCTGTTGATCACATTGCCGGCGTCATCGCTAAATTCTTCTGTGACCCGCAGACCTATATTACCTTTGATTCCCGGTACAAACAATACGAAGACTTGTTCACTGTCGATCTGGCTGCCAGGACGACGCATGGATGTTCGCCTTCTACTCCGCAAACCGGGTCCGGCCAAACAAGAGCGTTATGCCAGTTTCGTCCTCCCCAGCAATACCCGAGAAGCCACTTTCATGGACACGGTTCAGGCGTTGTAGAAGGATTTAGGCGAGCGATCATCCCTTTTCAACACTCGATTTCAGTGTTTACAACTGTGCAACGAGATTTCGATGGTTCCATCACGTAGGCGGGCATTGTTAATCGTGACTGTGGGCGTTTTCAACTGGGTTCCCTCACAGAAGACCAGTTGAAATGCCTTATATTTATCTGCGGCTCCCAGTCCTCCAAGGATGCTGATATCCGGACACGGCTCCTATCCAAACTGCAGCAGAACAACTCTACCACATTCCAAGAGCTGGCAGCAGAGTGCCAAACGCTGATCAGCCTAAAGCGCGACTGTGCTATTATTCAGAACCTTGCCATATCTCGCTCAACCCATACAGTCATATAGACCAAGTCGCATACTGTTACGTGGCCCAGGCAAATGCCCAAGGAGCGATCTCCGCCATCTCCTTGGTGGCACTGTGGCGAGTGGCATTTCCACCGGGATTGCACAATCCGCCAGCATCTCCGGCAAAGTTGTAATCAGATGGGACACTCTGATGGGTTTTGCAAATCAATACCAGCTTCTGGAAGCAAGCCAACCCCCGTCAGTTCTAGTTCCAGGCACCGTTTCCGGTCAAAACACAAATCCAAACCCCAGTCAATTGGTAACTTTCTAAGTTTCTTGGCCACATTCCATCTTACTGCGGCTGATCGTAGAAAGTTTGTTGACGTTTTGCTCAATGGCCATGTGGTTCGCGTACAGTTGCACACTGGTATGAATCTGAACTAATACTCCTGGTCCCCACAAATATTTCCTCTGAGACAATGCTACTCAAATGAACCAAGTACTGTTTTTATAGTGAATATTTTTTGTTCGTGTTAAGTTATTTCTAACGAGCTGACATGTAATCAATAGGGTTTTCAAAGGCTTTGCCTATTATCCTTACCAAATAAACTGAAATAAACTGAATATCACAATCATCTCTGGGAAATTCTGGCAGTTCCTTGGCAGCCCCATGATGCAGCGGACTTCCCGGTCCGACAAACCGCGTGCGGTGGTCTCGTACAGCTAATTGGGCAATTGCAATGCTGTGTCTCGTTCCGCAGTACCAGCATCATTGCGACCTGCTACATCACCAAGTCTGATTTTAATTTATTTGGTCTCGACTGGATTGAACAACTCGGTTTGGCCGATATGCCGCTTCGTGTTGTTTGCAGTCAGGTGCAGATTCCCGCTATGCTCGTAGACCAAACCAAGGACATTCTCCAGCGATTTGCTCTAGTGTTCCAAGACGGTCTGGGTCGTTGCACATGCACTCAAGTCGTTCTACTTCTTTCGCCTGGAAGTCAACCAGTCTTCCGTCCAAAGCGACCAGCCCCATTTGCAGCCCTACCACTTGTCGAGGCTGAAGTGAAGTGTCTGGAGAAACTGGGAGTTCTAGTTCCCGTATCCTACTCCGCCTGGGCCGCAACAATCGTTGTGCTTAAGAAGTCCAAGGGCTCGATTCGCATTTGCGCTGACTTCTCCACCGGTCTCAATACCGCGCTGACGCCGAACTGTTATCCACTGCCGGTTCCGGCTGATACTTTCACCCTGCTGAATGATGGCACTTGCTTTGATAAGTTGGATCTCGTTGATGCGTATTTGCAGATCGAGGTCGCCACAGAGTCGCGCGAATTGTTGACCATCAATACCCACCGCGGTCTGCTCCAATACACCTGACTGCCCTTCGGTGTCAAGAACACCCCGGTCCGATTCCAACAAACGATGAACGCAACGCTCTCCGGCATCCCTGGCACAGCTGAGTACCTGGACGGCATTATCATCCTGAGTCGCTCCCCTGCCGAGCTGCAAGAACGAGTGTGCGCAGTACTCAAACGCGTGCAGGAATATAGGTTCCGCCTGCGGGGAGACAAGTCCCTCGACTCAATCAAGTACCTCGGATTCGGTTTCGACGTCACCGGTCGCCATCCAGATCCTGAAAACGTCCGGGCCATCCCAAGGATGCCTGCACCCGAGAATGTACTGCAACTTTATTCGTTCCTTGACCTGATCAGCTAGTATAGCGCCTTACTACAATCGCTGCACGACGAACGGGCCCCCTCAACTGTCGGCTGCAGAACGATGCTCCTTGGTTCTGGTCCTCCGACTGCGAAAAGGCCTTCGTCCAGCTAAAGTCGATCGTTGTTGCTGCAGATACTTCCACCACGGAGTTAGTGCCGTCATCTCACACACTTTTTCCTGATGGGTCCGAAAAGGCGATCCGGGATGCGTCTTGCACGCTAACCCCCTGCGGAGGAGAACAACGGGCAAATAGAGAAGGAGGCTCTAGCCCTCGCGTTTGCCGTCAAGAAGTTCCACAAACTGCTGTACGACCGCCACTTCAGCTTGTTGACAAATCACAAACCATCGCGGTCAATCCTCCGTTCGAGGAAGGGTATTCCCGTCTATTCAGTCAGCTGACTTCATCGATGGACAACCATCCTTCTTGGCTACGATTTCGATATTCTCTACTGTCGTCCTACAGATTTTGGTCAGGCTAAAGCCTTTCTCGCCTCATTAGCAATCATCAGGTACCTGAGAAGATACGGTGATTGCCATTATTTCGATTGAGGATGATTTACACCGTCAGCTTCCAGACGCCAGACGAGGTATCCCTGTCACAGCCGCGGAATCCGACCTGCTACTGAACAGGATCCTGTCCTCCGTCAGGCCATCACCTACGCGCACACCTGCTGGCCAACCACCACACTTGCTGGCGATCTTCGTCATCTCTTCCTCCGCCGAGCATCGCTATCTGTGGTTGATTCCTGTCTCATGTTTGCGGACAGTGTGGTGATCCTATCTTCTCTCCGACCCACTGTACTACGTCAATCTCATGCCGCTCATCCTGGTGCCAGCCGAATGAAGTCTATTGCTCGCAATTGTGTTTACTGTCCGAGGGTCAACGGTGACATCGGCGACCTAGTTTGACGCTGTTATCGATATCAGCAAGCTGCCATGATGCCTCCTCATCAACCACCAACACCCTGTCAACCACCAGAGAGGCCTTGGTCACGCGTGCATATTGATTTCGCTGGCCCATTCAACGAAGTCTCCTACCTAGTCTTGGTTGACGCCTACACAAAGTGGTCCGAGATTGCTCCGCTGAATCCGGTGACTGCATTTGCCACTATCGCAATCCTATGACGCTGGCTGTACTAAAGCCTTCCCTTGCTGTCGTGGGTTCAAATCTCACCGAGGCTTCGAGATTTTCGCAATCGGGTCAAAGCGAATTATTTTAAAGTTGTCAAAACACCTATTATTAATACGCTTCCGTTTACTTCGGCTTGTTTTCGATTTTGACCGACCATTTTTTGATTAAAATTTTACAACCGTTCTCTTCGGTGGTTGTTAGTGTGCTTTATTTTCCGCGCATGACGACCAACACATATGTTTTACTCAGCACTCTAGTAATTGGCTTGAGCTACAGGCCCTGAGGACTCTGATCGAAAACAATTCGGTATTCAAAATTCCCTGACTGTCGGATAAATCCGTGACAATACCTTCAGCCGATCTACTGTAAATTACCACGGGATTTACACAGTGGTTTGGAATTATGAAGATCAATGTTTTGAGGAGACAGAGTGAAACCGGTGTGATTGCCTGCCGGCTACGATATTTGGTAATTCCTTCCTCATAACTATTGACCTCGTTCATACTAATAACCAGCGAAAGGCTAAAGTCACTCATTTGGCGTCCGTAAATCCGCGGCAATTTCCTTAAGCTGTCCACAGCTCTGAACTGTTAAGCGGCTGTGAAGTTGGAATAACGGTCTCATCCACAGTCCTGACAGATCACTCTCTTGGTACCTGTTTCTATGTTTATTGATTCAGCTTAGCCTATGATTACATTTTCTCTGTTTGTATGGGACGTTTTCCGCTTTGTTCGCCGGGAGCAAACGTCTAATAGATAGAACGATCGAACGTCTAACAATTCCGTTTACTCTACCATGCATCACGATCTACTCGTTTTTTGCCTCACCGTGCGTACTTCTCCAAAATCTTTGGTCGATTAAGTCGGGGTGACCAACTAACCATCAATTCACCGACAGTCCACAGCTTTCTGCTTGTGTTTCAGCATAATTTAGGTGTCCAGCGAAGACCTGAGCCTAAGTGGTCCGTTTTTAGCAATGTGCAGGATTGTCCAACTTAAGCCACTTTGCAAATGTAAAATTGGAAACTGAATATTCTAATCTTCGCATGGCTTGAATGGCGTCGGTGACTTGACATATCTACAGAATTATATTATCGCGCAAATGATTATTTTAATTGGTCAAGTAGTGTCTGCGGATGCTCGCATCCGTGGTATGTAAGCAGTCGTCTCACCTTCGATGTACGTTATTCCCATGTCTGTCATGTGTTAACAATCTGATTGTAAACTCAGGATCTGTACTTATCCAGCCTTAGCAGTCTAAACAACTAAATTTTCGGTGACTTCTTGCTTTCAGGAACCGGCAGGTTTCGAACAGTCTTTGGTGCTCTAAACTTCCTTGCATTTCTGATTTCTAGATGTTATTGCGCACTTATTTTCCCCAAATTTACCTATTCTACCTTCTTCATTTAAATATTCCTTGTCAACTGATATTTTCAAAAGTGCACAGCTATGCACTAGTCGAGCGAGGCACTTAGGGGTATGGTGCCATTTTTTACCCACATGCATACAAAATGATAGTGGCCGTTGCTTCATGCTCGTTTCAAACGAAATTGAAGTTTGTATCTGTTTCCTTAAGGTGTACAGGAAAACACATGTGACAGAATACTACCTGTGTATAAGACTCCAGAGGGCTTTTTGCGTAGATTCATTTATCGGGGTCTACGATCATGTGGTTTTCATCAAATTAACTTCTTTGGACACTGCACCAAAATAAATAAAGATGATCGAAACGTTCTACAGAAGATGTTTTTTATTGGACTGAATATAGCTTCCTCTTTACATACGATGACTCGCCACATTAACCTTTAAGCAAACTTTCCCAGTGCTCTATATATTTCAGTAAATCCCGGGATGGGTATGTATGAGATGGAAACTACGCAAACAAGTTTGAAACTGATCGATAAGTATAACGACATCAATGGAATATATTTCATCTAACCAGAATCGAACTGACTGAAAATCATACTCCTCGGGAAGGATTAAAACGCCTCTTGAAAATATGATTGACTTTCTTCGTTCTGGGGTAAAATTTTTGACACCTGAAATCCTCTTCACGCGTGGAAAAATTCCTAAGCTAGGTAGTGGAAATGCTTGGTTTTTGTATGAGAAATTTGTTTTCTTTGAAGGAATGCATGTTTGCTCAAGTTGGTATCTGAGGTATAAAAAGCATCGCCGAAAGAAAAGATGCCATCGTTACGATTTTTTGCCTGTACGCGTGCGTGAGGAAACAATGCAGTAGATCAAGGACCCCGAACTGACCTATAGTGTTTCTCTTACTCTCCAGAAGATTGTTATAACGTTGACTTTTCGCTGAGAAAACCCATATCAGACCTTCACATTATTGCAAAAACTAAACGAAGGACGCAGAAAACTTGTTAGTACCAGACCCATTTTTTGAAAAAGGAGAAAATAACATGTCCCCTACTATGTTCCTCCAACGACCTAAAATCTGGAAAAATATTTCTGCCATCTTCATCCATTAACTCCACCGTTGTATGCAAAACCATACTGTTTTTCCAAATGAAGTTATAGCCAAAATTTCTAAGGAAAGCGTGGAAAATTAGGGAATATGCAGACTGCCATATACCCTAGTGTCATCCCACGAGTACTCACATGATTGTTAAATCCCTGTCAGGCCTTTAGGCCGTTCTGCTAGCGCATGGCCTTGTTTTTGGGTGCGAGCCAAACGGTGATGACGGGGTCAGGGACCAGCTTGACGGGTCGTTTGTCCTTTATTTTTAATGCGAGATATTTGCAGTGCGACAAGGTTTTGCAATAAATTTGGCTTGGGTACGCTTCTAGTGTGGGCTACACTGCAGAGACAATACTACAATTAAATAACTATCTGTAATATTTTTCGGAGTTGGGAGCGGATGAGGCTACCTTCGTTCGGCCCCGTCCACCCGCATTCTCCGAAAACAAAGAATGAGAAGTACTTCACTTTTACGATTGTTTCTGAGAACCGATCCACGCAGAAACGTACCTTCGCTATCATTACTGCCAAATCATGCAGCTCGATTTATCCGTTGTGCTAAAAATAAAACACAAAGGACCCCTTGGCGGGGCCATGTGTCGGCAGGACGGAAGTCTGGCGCTTCTGCAAGTGCCGCGAACAAGCCAGTGAAACAAAAGAAGTTATTATAGGTTTAAAGTAATTATCAAGCCTGCCGCTGTTTCCCTCAACTCTTTGATTTAAAATTCGCTTTTACCTTACGCAACTGCCACTGCTGACTCCAGGTAGTGCAGCATATATGACAAAAATGTCACTGTTGCCTCTTGATATATTGTTGTTAATCAATCTCTGGCTCGTTGTATAGTTTTTGCAAGCCGCCATCTTTGCAAGCCTAAATTTCTGCGTAATGAAGAGTTTGCGGCAGTGCAAAAAGTACTCGCATATGAGTAGGGCAACCCATTTCTTCCATATAACTGCGGCAATGTCAGTCCTGACCTTTTTAAGGTTGGACGTTCTGGTAGCTAAGTAGTAGTATACCTGAAAAAATTCCCGAGGCGAAATACAACAGGCAACTTTTTGAAAAAAAAATCAGCCCCAACAACCTCTAAAATAATTAATCTCTTCTAGTAAGAATGGCAGTCAGAGTATTTGAACTCCATTTAATTACGACATCAAGGATAGGTCAACGGGCAGGGCTCGAACCCGACTATTCGATTTGAGATTAGCCCTGGAGAAGATGGACAGAACGAAATTCTCCTAGTCTCAGAGTGATTTCCTAATTAATAAAGCACTTAGCATGTACTAATGAGGGACTCCAAGTATTTCAATACAACTTTTATAGATAAATCATTCCTCCTGAATGAACTAAGTGCCATTTTACCATTCCTCTTCTATAAGTTTTTTCTGTCCTCAG